TACTTCTTCATCTATGTCATTGATGTAAATAAAAAAAAGGCAAATATCCTAAGACTGAGTTCTGAGGTACCCCATTCGTGACATTAATCCAGTTTGACTGAACTCCATTTATAACAACTCTCTGCTTTCTTCCATCCAGCCACTCTTCTATCCAATTAGCTAACTTATCCCCCATACTTATAGAGATAATTGTTTACGAGCTTTTTATGTGGCTCCTTGTCAAATGCTTTCTGAAAATCCAGCTACACCAAATCTACACCCTTACCCTCATCTACTTAAGCAGTAATCTTTGAAAGAAAGTCAGAAGACTGTAAGGCAAGATTTTCCCTCAGTGAAACCATGTTGACTGTCCAACAAAATTCTAAAATGTGTTAAGTGACTTTGCAATACATCTTTCCCACAACTGATGTAAGACTAGTGGGTCAAAAATTAGTGGGACAAATTTATCATCTCTCTTGAAAAGACGAGTTACATTAGCTAACTTCCAATCTTGTGGTACCTGCCCACTATTCAAGGACTGACAAAAAATAGTAATAAGTGGTTCACATATCCAATCTTTAACCTCCTTTAAAACTCATGGGGAAATATTATCTGGCCCATGAGCCTTATATTTTAAACTTCCCAATTTTTTCTTAACCAGCTCAGAATTAATGTAATCATCTTGTTTGATCTTGTTTCCATTTATCAACTGTTCAAGATGAGGAATACTATTTAATTCTTCATTAGTGAAAGCTAAAGAAAAAGCAGAATTTAATAACCCAGCAATCTCATAACCATCAGATACAAGCCTTCCTTTATCATCCCTCAAGAGCCCTACCCCCATCCTAACATTTTGTTTAACCTTAATGTATTTAAAGAAATCCTTACTGTTAATTCTTAAAGTTTTAGCCAACCTTTTTTCATACATCCTTTTTAATGTCCTAATTTCCTGTTTCACCAACTTTCTTGATCTTCTATAATCTTCTAAATCTCCTGTCATACCAGTGAATTTAAATTTCTTAAATTTATGATGCTTATCTTTAATTTTATCTCTTATCATCTTTGTGAGCTAACCTGGTTTTTTTACTTGCAGCTACCTTTTTCTTTTTATAAGGAATATCTTGAATATTTAATACTTTATCCTTAAAAATTTTCCACATTTGATTAGTAGATTTGTAGATTATGATATTTCATTTGGATTCATACTCCGGTTCTGATTCTTTTTTTATTATAGTCACTTTATCCAAAGAGTGAACCGAAATGGAGGAGATGCTGAACCTCTCGAACTTCCTCTAGGGGGCAATGGAAAATTATATGGAATCACTTCAGTGCCATCTCAATGTCCTAGAGGTACAGCATTAATATACATAAAATTATTAATATTAAGAATTTGATAAAGAAAAATATTATATTTACAATATTTATAATCTTAAAAAACTTTTTTTCCCCACACAGTCACAACTCTATGTGCAAGCCATAACGGTGGATGTCAGTACTTATGTCTGCCAAATGGAAATGGACAACGAACATGTGCTTGTCCTGAGGTTGATGAAGACTCTGATGATGTTATTGATTGTAACCAGGTTATCTAGGCATTATTTATCTTATTAACGATAAACTTGGTAAAATTATTATAATCAGCTCATGTTGTAATACCATTCTTTATTTAATACGGTATTACATTTTCTACCAAACTGCACACATAGTTAATTCCAATTTTGTGTTTTTCTTAAATGCTTACTACTCATGTTTGAACAATTGTATTAGTAGTAAATAAAGGTTTTTTTTATTCATCCAAGCAGAGTTAATGGAGTGTTTTTATGAAGCTGTCTTCTTCCTACATTATTTGGAAACTACATTTGATATGTACAACATTTGTCTCTACTTACATAATACAGTCTACATTATATGGCTAAGAAAAGTACACTTTGGACTGAATAACTTATACTGTACATTGATTACTGCCCACTTTTATGTAATAACACAACAGTTACCGTATGAGTTATTAACTTTATATTTTCCCCCTTCACTAAGTATCAGGGCTAGCTGAGTATGAATTCTTAGATTAGTGTAGGACTTAAAACTTCAATACATAATATATGAAGAATCTTCACAACCTAATAACCAAGCAGCAGAATCAGTTGATAGAAGTGGGTATAGCCAAACAAGGACTGGACTTTGAAAGTGAAATAAAGCATACACAATCAGTGGATAGAAGTGAGTATAGCCAAACAAGGACTGGACTTTGAAACTAAAATGAAGCAGACTTAATCAGTGGATAGAAGTGGGTATAGCCAAACAAGGACTGGACTTTGAAAGTGAAATAAAGCATACACAATCAGTGTATAGAAATTTGTGTATGCTTTATTTCACTTTTAAAGTCCAGTTCTTGTTTGGCTATATTCACTTCTATCCACTGATTGTGTATGCTTTATTTCACTTTCAAAGTCCAGTCCTTGTTTGGCTATACTCTCAGTGTGTAGAAGTGAGTATAGCCAAACAAAGACTGGACTTTGAAAGTGAAATAAAGCATACATAAGATATAATGGACACAATTCAAGTTTCCTGGAAAGAAGTAGGTAAATATCCTGACTAGATAGGTTACAGAAAGTAACACCTCGGTATGAATTTTTCACACAACGTCAACAAAATCATCTGGTTCCAGAATTAAAACTTTAGAATAGTTTTATAGATGAAATATATGCTGCATGAGATTAATGTATATAGCATTTGCATACTGTGAATTATTTTAAAAATATGCAGTACTTTTATATGTGGAAGCCTTTAGGTCTGGTTCATTATACCTATAATAGTCAAATCATTCAGTAAAAACCTGCAATATAATTTGATAACAAAAACTAATGTAATAATTTAATTAATGTTTCCAAAAGGCAATTTATGAAATACACATTGTTGTCATACACTATTTTTCATCTAGAGCTGTAGCAAAACAAATATGATACCCTATAAGCCAAGAACTTTGAAATTTATTCTAAACTGTAAAAGTGATTTACAGTTAAATAATGGCCCCATAATTTGCATTAGAATAAAATTTACCTTTCTTAGTTTTTTTTGTTTGAAGTTAAGCCCAAAGCTATGCAGTGGGCTATCTGTGCTCGGCCCACCACGGGTATCAAAACCTGGGTTCTAGCGTTGTAAGTCAGCAGACATACCGCTGTGCCACTGGGGGGCCTTTCTTGGTTGAGTTTCCTAGCATCAACACAACTCAGTATGTTACAATATGACATTAGCATCAGTACAACTTAGTATGTTACAATATGACATTAGCATCAACACAATTCAGTATGTTACAATATGACATTAGCATCAACACAACTCAGTATGTTACAATATGATATTAGCATCAACACAATTCAGTATGTTACAATATGACATTAGCATCAACACACCTCAGTATGTTACAATATGACATTAGCATCAATACAACTCAGTATATTACAATATGACATTAGTATCAACACAACTCAGTATGTTACAATATGACATTAGCATCAACACAACTCAGTATGTTACAATATGACATTAGCATCAATACAACTCAGTAGGCTACAGTATGACATTAGCATCAATACAACTCAGTATATTACAATATGACATTAGCATCAACACAACTCAGTAGGCTACAATATGGCATTAGCATCAATACAACTCAGTAGGCTACAATATGACATTAGCATCAATACAACTCAGTATATTACAATATGACATTAGCATCAACAAAACTCAGTATGTTACAATATGACATTAGCATCAACACAACTCAGTAGGCTACAATATGACATTAGCATCAATACAACTTAGTATTGTTACGTCTCCGTCTCGTTAACTAATTTTCCGTAACTTCGTTCCGACGAAACTTTAGCGACACAAGTCCTTACTTAATAAAACTGGTTTATTCTTTCCGAATACAACTTTACGATACACTTATTTTCAACAGTCGCGCTATAACAAACTATGATAACGAACGTTAACTTCAACAATACGTCTCTCTCTGACTGCAGTTCAATTACTCATTACCTACACACACATTATTCCCCCATCACGTTGTCACCCTCTTATATATACCAGACTACCCTATATCTAGTAATCTCCCGACAATTCCCGAAGTTTCGAGAGAACGAGTAACATGACCTCGCTGACGGAACAGTATGTTACAATATGACATTAGCATCAATACAACTCAGTATGTTACAATATGGTGAATTTATAATTTTACACTGTTATGCAAAGTTTCCCAAGAATACCAAAGTTAAGAAGAAATATTTGGATATTTTTCTATGTAATTATTGCAATCTAAACTTTGTTATGAATATTTTTTTTTCATTACATTTTCTCTATTTATTAATGAGTCTCTGATTGACTGATCTCTACAAAGATATATGACAAAAGGAAATAAGTTCTGTTCACTTGTCCTGAGTTGCTAACTTGTATTTTTATGTGTACTGTTGCGGGTTATATTTTCAATTTCTTAATACAGATATCAGCTAGAGGACACATTATGCTAACATCAAGTTGTAACGAACCAAACATAAATGCTGCTAGAACCAGGGTCAAACAAAAACAATTTATTAAACATAATAACAGAAATCCAGGAAAACTTTCAAACATCTACAATCAAATTTAATAACAAGAAACAATTAGTAAACCCATGTCTGGCCATGACTAGGAATTGTTACATTTCTGCTTGTTTGTTAATTTCCGGTATAAATTCTTTCCAAGGATCTTCAGTGATACAAGTCCTTCCTTATTTAAACCAGTTTATTTTTCCTCCATACAACTTTGTAATACACAGAATTTCCAATCAGTATATTAAACTTAACTACTTTTATAACACATGCTATAAATCACAGTAATGTCATATGGGCCTTCTCATGGAGAAGACAACTTAGGAGACTTCCCTTTGGTCTTCCTGGGATTATACAACCACACCTTGTCTCCTGC